CACACCACCTCCTCTTGGTGGTGTGGACATATCCCTGTCTCTTATACACATACAAACAAAAAAAAACACAGGCCCTTATGGCCCTGGCTCCTGGGAAAGGAGCGTTTTGTATTTCATGGAAAGAAAGAAAAAGTGAAAAAAAAAAAAAAAAAAAAAAGGCAAACAGCCCCGTATGGCCCTGGCTCCTGGGAAAGGAGTGTTTTTGTATTTCATGGAAAGAAAGAAAAAGTGAAAAAGTCGAGTTTCTGGATTTGCTGGTGTCATCGCTCGCTTTGTTTTTTTTTGTTTTGTTTTGTTTTATGTCATTGCTCGCTTGGTCCATGGTATTCTGTGTGTTGTGCTTCATGCAGGTGATAACTTTCAACACCCTTATAAGCGCATGCTCCAGGCGCCGCGACTTCTTAAAGGCAGCCCGATTCTTTGACTTGATCACCAAGTCGGGATTGCAACCAACTGTTGTGTCATACAATGCATTGATCCAAGCTTGTGGACGAGCCAGCGAGGGAGTGCAGGCCATGGTAGCGTTCAAGAGGATGCTTCAGAGCAGCTTGAATCCAGACGGTACGACCTACAAGGTACGTACTCCATAACAATTCATAGAAACTGTGTCGTACGGATGCATCATGACCCTCGTTTGCAAATTTATCTGCAGTCTGGTGAAAAAGGTATTCTTACTCAGCCCAGGTGGCTGAATGTTAAATAATTTGAACATAAACAGGTCCTTATGGTCCTCTTGACTCCCTTTCCAGTCCAGGGAGCATCAGTCTGGTTACTTTTGCCCCGGCAAGTGAGAAACGATACAACGTACGGGGCGTCACTCCACTGCTCAACTTTTTATATGCATTTGGACGCCTTTCTGGACTGGGTGCATTCGGAGGAGTCCAACATTTTGAATGCATGGAGACAAGTATGAGCTCAGATATATGTAGACTGTTGTGTAGTGGAGTCCAACATTTTGAATGTATCCGGACGAATATGAGGCCTGCATACACACGAAAACGCTTCCTTCTATCCAGCCGAAGGAACCCTCAACAGGATGGATTACTCTATTCTCAGGAGGACTTTTGCTGTCAGCTTGCCCATGTGGCTGAATGCCACACCCATGCACTGCTGATAGGCAGACCTGAGTTCAAGTCCTTATGGAGCCAGATGAGTAAAATTATAACTTTGAATTACCTGGGGCAGCCAGTTGGATGATGATGACTCAGGGCCGACCAAGGGCAGCTTTTTCTGCATCTGCCTTATGCCTTGAGCCTCACTGCTCGACACCTTGGGACACACTTACACATTGAGAGATACACGAAATCCACACTGGAGTCCAGTGATGCAAAGTCCAGATATGCACAGCTTAGGAAATCCAACAAATTATCACATTAAACAGTTTCGGAGACCCAGTCACCAAGCGCTCAACAGCGCAGAATTCAGCAAACCAATACTGGGCTTCTTCATGCATTTTCTCTCTCTCTCTCTCTCTCTCTCTCTCTCTCTCTCTCTCTCTCTCTCTCTCTCTCTCTCTCTCTCTCTCTCTCT